ATATATATATATATATACATATCCCGCACTGCGTTAGGCCGAGGAGAGTTTGAAATACTCTCAGCTGCTCTTGTTTGAGCCCGACATTTGCACATATCCTCGAACTTCTATCCCATCTACAGACCTAAAACTCCCATGCTACCTACAGACACTGTGAGTATATTGTGGGTAGCGGAGCTGAAAGCACAATGTTGTCGCACGCCACAGCTTCTACACCATGTTCATTACATACTGATGCATATACATGTGCATATAGCTTCATAAAATATATCTGATTACATACTGATGCATATACATTTGCATCTAGCTTCATAGCATATAACTGTATAAGAGACTACTCTCTCAATAGTGCCAGTAGATAAGTACATAACACATGGTTCGTATTCTGGGCGGGCATGCATACGCACACTCTACATCTGATTTTGCGCGAATGTTTATTCACACTCCTGTCCCACCGGTTACGCCTGTCGGCAGTACATACAGAGGACAGGGCTTCTTGTGCTAAATATAGAACAACTCCACTTACTCCATTGTCGACTCTGTGCCCCAGCTCTTAGACTCTTGGGATTACCCAAAGCTGCCATACATTGGGATGTATCTGTCGGATCTCGCTTATATTGATGCCGCATACGATGACACGGTGGAAACCAACGCTGTGGAGTCAGCAGGGACAATTAAAGAGGAGCGTCAAAGTTTGGTACATATCAACTGGGAGAAGAAGCGCAAGGAATACTGTGCCTTGAAGGTATGGGCCTATGGGGTGTGGTTGTACGACCCCATGAACTCAACGGATGTGCACATGGCCATAGATGAGCTGATGTAGTCTGCGAATGGACTCGAGATAGTACACAGTACAATCACACACACCAACACACACCAACACACACACAAGCAATATGGAACAGCTGCAGTGACTATTGCTATATGTATGGGAGTACGTGACCCAAATTAATAATTAGGATTTTGAAATCCAAATTTAGAAATCTGGATTTGTTTTTAGGATTCTGGCTTCGACCGCCTTTCCCGGTTCTTGGTTCTCACATCCTAATCCTGGTTACCCTGATTCCAACCGCTGCAGCCTATAGTAGACAGTCAGCAGCACGCACTGGTGCTGGCGACCAATGTGAACTTTGACTGTGAATTCTACGCCCAGTTCGAGTCCATCAAACTGCTCAACATAGACGAATGCTATGCACTCTCGCTCAAGGTAAGGGGTACACTCTTGTCTATACAGACGCATCAAGTAACCCTCCTATACAGACACATCAAGTAACCCTCCTATACAGATACATCAAGTAACCCTCCTCACCAGACACATCAAGTAACCCTCCTCCCCCGTCAGAGGATGTACCACACTAGTATTACTGGTTACACCTCAGGTGCTTGTGTGCGACCCGAGCCCTTTCTCTTTCTATTACACGGTATATAGGTAGTATTTTATTGTCTGCTTTGAGGAGTTCATAGTGTCCGCAGGTTTAAAGCTTCACGTATGTGTGTGAATAAGCTTCAAGTATATGTGTAAATGCGGATAGTTCTATTCGCACAAAATGCGCACGTGGCATGTGTACTGATAATAGTGGGAGAGTGCGAGAGTCAATGTGTTTGGGTGTTTTGTGTAATATTGCAGGCGAAATTCTAACGCAGTATGTATCAATATACATTCAAATAACTAAATATATAGATAAATTTATTTATGTATATA